ATTTGCTTTAACAGAACTATTATATTCAATAAATGTTAAAAATCTGAGTTTCTTCAAAATATTATTTAAGAGATAATATTTAATTGCTTTCGAAAACAGTAAAACGTCAAGCGTTCGACGATGCGAAAAATTTTCTATGCAGTGAACGTAATACTATATGCCTATTTCGAATTGGCGAAATGTATAATTTCGCCAATTCGAAATAGGCATATAGTAAGTAGGGAACCGATTATCCGGAACGATCGGGACCATCGCTATTCCGGATAACTGATTTTTCCGGTTTTCTGAATCGCCACAAAAAGCCGTTTTTTTTATTGTTAAAGTCAACTAAAAAAATTTTTTTGGAAATAATCTTAAAAAGAAGAAAAAACGATGAAGTAATACACTAATGATTATTTCCAAAATGATGGTAAGGTAAACATCTTTCAGAAAAGAAAGAAAAATCCTAAAATCTTATGAGGAAAAAAATTTTTTTTTTAAAAAATGGCGGGAAAATTTATCGAATTTCGTTCCGGTTTTTTGGTTTTCCGGTTTTCTGATTTCCGGATAACGGGTTCTGTACTGTATTACGTTCACTGTATAGATTTTAAAAGTAATCCACTCACTTAAAAGTGAGTTGGACCTTTCATCAACTGAATTTCTATAATCCACATTCAATTATAGCCCATCATCTTGCATCGGCTTGCACACAATCTAAGGCAATTGGTATGTGTGATGCCTATTTCAAGAGATACTTTTACAATATGGAAAGTGGTGAATGTGAAGAATTCGTCTACGGAGGTTGTCAAGGCAATTCAAATAATTTCAACAGTTTGGATGATTGTGAAGCAGTCTGCAAAGGTTGTTTTTTTATTTAAAGTTTATTTATTTATCAAATTACATGTTACTTAGTTTCTTTTGTTAAATTAGCCTATATTTTAGACATTTACAGTCCATGGCCGAATTATTAGACGCACTATAAGATTCTATGTAAAATCTTAATTATCATGTAATACTATACAGCTTTATTGTTTTTATGTGACTGAAACACGTCTGCACTTGTTTATGTTCGTGTATCAATAGATTAAATTTGGCGATATATAATGTAAATTCCACGATTCTATAAATTAGACGATATATTATAAAAATATAGAATATTTATTATATCAGGTATTGTATTATTATATTGTAATAATTAGATCAAATTATTAGACGCACTGAAGTTTTTTAATAATGACGTGTTTTGCACGAGTTTATAGGCAATACTTTTATATTAAAACATATATGTTATGGGGTTTTAATCATCAATTATCATCTTTATTACACAGTCGAACCCCGCTATAGCGAACTTTCAAGGGACCAAAATTTTGGTTCACTATAACCGTTCCGCAAGTAATTGTATCTAATAGTTCCAAACTCCCCCCTTTTATTAGACATTATTTAAATAAATGAACAATGAAATGAAATACAAAAATGACTGAGAAAGAAATTAGTAGTAACAAAAATGTGTTAACTTTTATTTTTTATTACTCTTCGTTTCTTGCGTAAAAAAGAAAAAAAATTGTAATCTTTAGCTGATGAGCACATGGGATAAGGAAACAATTCCCGACTCTTAGATAATTTTTCTCGAATTTATGTTATTCCGCGTTTTAAACCTGTCTAACCAGCCGTTCGAGCACAAAGAAGTAGCCTCATCAAATTCATCGACTTTGACTTGAAGCATATTTGTCCAGATACTGGAAGATGGCTGCTTCGTTGAATGCTGAACCAAATTCAATAATGACGCAAACAAGAAAAAATGCTTATGGCTACATTCCATGCTATAGATCAGGGGTTTCCAACTTGCATGAGGCCGGGGGTCACTATTAAAAACACAAATTAAATGGCTGGCCGCAACTTTATCAAAATTTTTTGTAGGATGCTTTTATGCTTGAAGGAACATTAAATATTTCTGTCAGATTTTTACCAAGTTGTACAAAACAAAAGTATTGAATTACAAATTAAAATAAGAAGTAGATTTTTAAAAATATTTAATTGTTATTTATAATATTTTTTAAAATATTAAATAAATAATAAAAATTCGGGCTACAATAACCTAATGTGCACCTATGTATTAAACAATTAATGTGCAACAGATACCTAAATGTTAAGGTATTAAACTTACATAGTAGCACACAAAATATTCACTGAGAAAATTGAGGTTTGTCTGCTGCAACCACCAGAGAATAGATATTTACACTTTAAATTTAAAATTTACAAATGTGTGTGAAAATATTTTCGCCCAAAATGAGTGGTTTCAAAAAGTTAAATCGGAGAATTTCTTCGAGAAAATTTCTGATACGCACATNAAAAAAAAAAAAAAAAAAAAAAAAAAAAAAAAAAAAAAAAAAATGAAATAAAAAAGAGCAACATACACGATTATTTTCGTATTTGAATAAATATTTTCTTGGGTGCAAAACCTAAATTTCTTTGCACCGTTGGTAAGTTAAATTTTGCAGAAACGAAGAAGTTAGGTTTTTATTAGCGAGAAAAGTATTTTAAACCCATATAGATTTTTTACGAAAATTGTCTGCAAAAAAATGACAACTGTTATACTTTAGTTCGCGGGACGGGCCGCCAGTTGGAAACCCCTGCTATAGATGGTATTTTAAAAATCGGTATGTGTATTTATTTTGAAGTAGAAATTTCAAAATTATTGCTAAAAAATGAAGGAAATAAATCAGTCGAAGACAGAAAAAAGTTCATTATATCCAACTTTCTCTCTTTTTTGGTTCACTATATCCACAATACATAACATTATACGTGTGTAGCAAGGCACGGGAGCCAGCATTTTGTTCACTAAATCATGGAGTTCACTATAAACCGTGTTCACTATAGCGGGGTTTAACTGTAGAATCAAAATTATAGTATGTCTACTTTGTGAATTCATTTGCGTTTTATTTAATTTGTCTAGATAAATTTTCATCCACAGAGCAAAATATATTCTTTCTTCGTTTAGATGTCCATAGGTATTGCAGAATGTTATAATTTTCATTAATTTTATAATTCCATTTATCCTTTATATTTTCTAATTTGATATGAAATAACTTTTTAAAAATGGTGCGATTTAACTTAACATTGCAATTTAACTTAACTTATCAATGGTGCGACTAACGGTCGCAAATTCCCAAATCTGTCAAATAACAAAAAGCTTGTTTCTTAGAGAGTCGTATTCTCTTATTTTCTTTTTTTATTTGAGTTTACAGAGAGTACTATTAAAAACTATCACTGTATGTTTCATTTGTTATACTTCTATATAAAATTTTGCACTGTAAAAAATTTCGGGTCAAGTTACTGTATAAAATACCGGCATTTTGGGTAAATCATCCGTAAAATCCATTTTAACGTAAAATTCATTTTTACAGTAAAATATTTTATTTCGGTATCTTAGATTGTTTGTTGCTACGTAAAATTCATTTTTACCGTAAAATATTTTATTTCGGTATCTTAGATTGTTAGTTCCTACGTAAAATTCAAACGAAAAATTCCTTTTTACAGTAAAATATTTTATTTCGGTATCTTAGATTGTTCGTTCCTACGTAAAATTCCTTTTTACAGTAAAATATTTTATTTCGGTATCCTAGATTGTTTGTTCCTACGTAAAATTTAAACTTAAAATTCATTTTTACAGTAAAATATTTTATTTCGGTATCTTAAATTGTTTGTTCCTACGTAAAATTTAAACGTAAAATTCATTTTTACAGTAAAATATTTTATTTCGGTATCCTAGATTGTTTGTTCCTACGCAAAATTCAAACGTAAAATTCATTTTTACAGTAAAATATTTTATTTCGGTATCTTAGATGGTTTGTTCCTGTAAAAATGAATTTTACTTTTTTTTATCAGCAATCTGAGTACCGATATTTTTAAATTTCTACAGTGTAATTTGAATACTTTTTACAGTGTAAACACTGTCCCTGGTCAAATTATTAGACGCACTATAAGATTCTATGTAAAATCTCAATTATCAGGTGGTACTATACAGCTTTATTGTTTTTACGTGACTGAAACCGGTTTGCACTTGTTTACGTTAGTGTAACAATGGGCTAAATTAGACGATATATAATATAAATTCGACAGTAGGATAAATTGGACGATATATTTAATAAATATAGAATATTTATTATATCAAGCATTATATTAGTATATAATAATAATTAGATCAAATTATTAAACGCAATGTAGTTTTTTAATAATGATATGCTTTGCACGAGTTTATATGCAATACTTTTATATATAAATGTACATGCAATGGGTTTTTATTCAGGAGATTTTTTGTATACTTTCTATTTGTATTTATTTTTAACGTATTGCATTACAATGTTAACCAATTGATACACGAATGTAAACAAGTGCAAACTGATTTCAGCTGCGTAAAAACAATAAAGCTGTATTAGTATCACCTGATAACTAAGATTTTACATAGAATCTTATAGTGCGTCTAATAATTTGATCAGCGACTGTAATTTGAATACTTTTTACAGTGTAACTAGTTTTTTGCACTTTTCCTAGAATAACTATTTTTTTTACAGAGACATTTTTACATTGTAACTAATCACATAATGTAATTTACAGCTTAAAAGAGCTCTTCAGAATTAAGAAGCATTGGATCTTAATAGAACAATCACATGGAATATGCTGAAGTTCCTCTAGTCAAAGTTTTTCATTCTTATTTTATTATGCATTCATTTTAAATGGCATTCATAATAAAACCTTAATAATTGAAATGTGTTTTTATTTGTGCTGTTTCAAACATTGTTGTTGTTGTTTCTAATGGCACTTGCCACACGGGCAAGCCTGCTTGGTGAAAGCGAGCAAATTTAAGGCAGAGTATACGTTTCTTGTTATTCAGTGGCGCCATCTATGGCCAAGAATTCGACTTCCACACCATACATCGCACCCGTTTATAGGGTGAACCCATTTATACATCTACTCATTCATCCACAGATCGTAATTTTGAC